CACACACACACACACAGACACACACACACAGACACACACACACACACACACACACACAGACAGACACACACACAGACACACACACACACACTAAGAAACTTCATATGAGTCTGGGTAGATATGAAAGCACATATGTGAACGTCAGTTTCCTTTTAATCAAATATAGACTATAGGAGACTATATCTCCTCTGCGCCTGTCGATCTCTATCTGTCTGTTCTCCTCTGCTTTCATTACTCGTTTCTCTCTCTCTCTCTCTCTCTCTCTCTCTCTCATGCCGTCTGTCCGCAGGTATTTTCCCAGATTGCTCAGTGCCTCAGCGATCGCAGCTGAATACAGATGAGCAGCGCCGTCATCCGTCCAATCAGAACGCAGCAAAAAGTGTATGTATTCATAAGCAGATGTGAACACAAACGCTCTTATTTAATGCTCAAATGCTGAAAATAAACCAGCCTGAGGTGGTTGCTGGTGTTAGACTGGTCAGGGTTGATCCTAAACCAGCTGGTAGCATCAAACCAACTTAAGCCTGTTTTACAGCACTAAGGCTGCATTTATTTGATCAAAAATACAGTAAAAATTATTAAATATTATTAAAATTTCAAACAGCTGTTTTCTATGTGTTAAAGAGTCATTTATTGCTCTGAATTTTCAGCATCATTACTCCAGTCTTCAGTGTCACACGATCTTCAGAAATCATTCTAATATGCTGATTATTAGAAACATTTCTGATTATTATCAATGTTGAAAACAATTGTGCTGCCCCATATTTTTGCGGAAATATTTTATTTTTCAGGATTCACAGATGAGTAGAAACTTCAAAAGAACAGCATTTATTTGAAATAAAAATCTTCTGTAACATTATAGCTGTCTTTAGTCACTTTTGATCAATTTAATGCATCCTTGATGGATAAAAGTATTAATTTATTAAAGACCCCAAATTTTTCAATGATAGTGTAAATAAAAATGCAATTAAATTAAATTGTAAAAGAGCCGTTGTTTATAAGTTCATTGCATGCTCCTTTTATATCCTATTTAAATAAATTATACAGACAAAAATAAATAATATTAATGCATTTTAAAAGTAGCAAAAACCAGTGTGCATTATATTGAGAAAAAAAGCTTTAAAATGATTCTCTGGAGTCTGTGCATTACTCATAGGCTTGTATTTAGGTCCAAACACAGCGACTCACCGTCAAGTAGGTCACAAATTTTATCCATGTAGATTTCCAAATAGGAAACCTTGAGAGAGAAACGAGAACAGCTGACGATGTGCAGTTATCGGACAGCATTAACATTTCTTCACTAGAAAAACAAAATTATTTGTAAATATGAACGACCTCATTTTATGCATTTGTCAGCACCTTAATGTGGAACTCGAGGTTTTCGTCCATGGTGTAAATGTGGTTGAAAATGTCTTCAGCGATCCTCGGGATGATTCCTCTTTTGTCAGGATCGTGCAGTTTTCCCTGACAGAGAGAGAGAGAGAGAGAAAGCAGTGAGCACACTTTAATTGTGCTTTTTTAATGTGAATATTCTTCTTTTATGTTCCACAGAATAAAGAACGTTTTACAGTTTTGGAGCAACACGATGGTGAGTAATCTTCATTTCTGAGTGAACTGTTCTTTAATAATGAGCACAGAGCAGTGTAGACAGCTGGTTTACCTCCATAGTGTAGGTTTTACCGGACGACGTCTGTCCGTACGCAAAGATGGTGCCGTTATAACCGTCCAGAACATCTGTAGAGAGAGAAACACTAATTAATCAACATGGAAAAGTGCTAGAAGTTTCATCACATCACCATCAGCCCTTGAGAACAATGTGGATTTACTTTTAAATTGTAACATTTTTAAATCAAATGTAGCATGTGCAGGATACAAAGTATCATCAATGTGTTATTAGAGGAAACAAATAGAAACATTTTTTAATTTAGTTGTTATAGCAGAAAATGTAAAATATTAAAAGAAGGGGTAAGAAGCCTCCATGAATAAACTTTTACAGAATGTATAAATGACTTCTGATATAATTATGATTAATATTTATATATTTATAAAAGTGTCATTCATGTAAAATACTAAAACAACTCTTCGATTTATAATTGTATTTTTTTTTTATGTAAAAATATTTACATTTTAGTTGAATAATTGAATAATCGATGACGCACAAAGCAGAATCCCAGTAAAAGAGATCTATCTGAAAGGTAAAATTATTCTATGACAGGCATATGAATATTTACATATTTAATCGCCCATATTTTAATTGAAGACAATAGCAACAGTATGAATGCAAATTTAATGATTTTACTCAATCTATAGGTTTTAATGAAAGCGAAGATGTCTGAAATGTACATCTAATTCATGGAAATATTAAATAATAACCCCATTAATTAATTAATCAAATAATAATTAAATATTAAATAATAACCCCATTAATTAATTAATTAAATAATAATGAAATATTAAATAATAACCCCATTAATTAAATAATAATAATTAATTAATTAAATAATAATGAAATATTAAATAATAACCCCATTAATTAAATAATAATAATAATCAATTAAATAATAATAAAAAGATTAAATAATAACCCCATTAATTAATTAATTAATAATTATTATTATTATTATTAATTATTATTATTATTATTTAATTAATGGCGTTATTATTCAATATTTAATTATTATGTAATAATTAAATATGAAATAATAACCCCATTAATTAGTATTAAATTTAGTATTAAGATTAAAAGTATTACATTTAAAAACAACAACTCCAAGGGACTCATTTTATCATTTCACTTCAAAATAAAAACTCCATTTACCTCACAAATCTAAAAACATTAATGTGTCCACAAATCATTAACAAATAGACACAAAACATAATATAATGTCACAGATCACTATTTTCCACAAAACTGTTTCAACTGACTAAATCTCACAAATTTTGATATTCAGATGAAATGCAATTATCTTTATTTATAATGTGTGCTATACAGTATTTTGACATTTATTTATATGTTTTTGAAGAATCAGTCCCTATCTACACACTCACCTTTGACGATCTGTTTGGCACACGTGTTGTACACCTGCTCCTGCGTGCAATTCGTGGGAAAGACTTTGTCAAAAACATACAGCTTCCCCTGTAAGACACAAACACATTCACTTCTATATAGACAATAATAAGTCCAGATAGGTGAAGAAATGCACATGCTTCACGTTAAGCACTTCAGTCAGTAACACAAGCTTTAATTGATCCTCAGAATAGCATCAAAGTCTCCAGAGCAGACGCACACCTGAAGAGTCTCGACACACACGTTATATGACGTCGACGCAGACGTTTGTGATGACAGAAAACACTTAACCTTTGCTTTCAGCTCTCAGCGAGTTCACTGCGGCGCAGTCCCTCAACGCGTCTTAAAATAGACTGCTTTATGTCTGTCTGTGCTTGCAGGAATCATAATGAGCGTCTAAAACAAGAGCACACACACAGTGTTTATGGCTTAAATCTGCGGTGTGTGATGAGATAATCAACACGTCCCCGTGTGTGTGTGCATCTGTTTTAATAACATGACGACTGGCCAGAGTAACAAAATGAAATTAAAGGGGTCCTATTATGCTCTATTACAAAGTCTTGATTTTGTTTTGGGGGTGTACTAGAACAGGCTCTCATACTAGGTTGTTCGAAAAACACATTATATTTCACATATTTTACATTATTACAACACCTCCCCAGTCTGGCTGGCATGAACGGCTCGAAT